TGCTCCTGAAATTTGCTTGATTCCAATATTGAACAACAGATTCTTGGGTATTGCTCAATATACCGGTATCAACGTCAAATTTGAACGCCTCCGCCATATCGCCTCGCATTTTAACAGGAAGAACCGAGCCATCTACAGGATTAATCGCAGGAAGAGAATAGATTACGTGACCGACAGGAAGCTCCTCGGGTATTTTCACCTGAGTTGTAAACAAATTCTCGTTTTCTATAAGTCAAAGGAAGAGGCAAATACCTTGATGACATTGTTCTTCCTTGTCCATGGTGCTGGGAAAATGGGCCGTGAAGACTCTTGTTTTTGATTCTCGATGAATTCAGGTGATGAAGTGAGCGATAGCATTACCGTTGCTGAAAACATTCGCGCACTCCATAAATGAATTTCTAAGCAAAAATTGAAGGACTCGCAGCCAATTTTCAATGCTTCGCTGAAAAAGGGCAGATAAGACTTACAGCAAACTTTGATTATGCTTATCAATGTTGGGAACCTATAGAGATGTCATTAATTAAATTTTAATTGTACATGCAAATCTTTTTTACAGCAGCTATAATTTAACAATCTACATATTGACAACAGAAATGCGACACAACCAGTCGTCATTTAAATGGCTCCAGAAGCACAAATTTTGTATTAAACTCGCGAAGACCTTCAAGAGCAAACAGTCCTTCGCGATGGAAGACAATACCCAGTGTTTCGTAAAGAAAAAGGATAATTTGTTATTATAGTTTTCATATTTTTAGAGCATGGGTGGATGACCCCATCGCCTTGACTTTCAACTATTTTCTGGAGTACTTATAAGACAGTCAAATCTTTAACACTTCAAATTGTGATGGCAAATTGATAGCGCAGAATTCATCGTCCTTTGCTCATTTCAAAACAAAAATATAAAAATGTATTTTCCTTTAGTTCTTGGAAAGAGAGCTTTGTTTGTAATGTTCAAAAAAGTCTTCATTGAATTCAAAAGCTTCCATTTACATCAGCGACAAACAATAAAGCTGTTGGAGGCAGAATATAGTGGGAACTTTGGGCTCCATAGATTTCCTTTTATCTCGTCTGGCAAATTTGATATCGCTACGATAATATGCTCTATAATCAGACTCAATTCTTCTTAAAAAATGGCAAATGGTCCTTTTTACACAAGGTTTCCCAAGATATTCGACGCTGCTGAAAGGGACAGCACCTTTATTCATTTAAAAATTTTGAAATGTTTACGACAATGCCAAAAAAGACTTATGAAAAGGAAAAAGAAAACTGTCGTACGTTCTTGTAGGATTATTTCGCTTATGGTTGTCTCTAGCAACCATGCCTAGGTAGTTTTCTAAAATTTCTTACTATTGCTGTTATGGTAGTACGCATTGTTTTCTATCTATAACAAGATGTAATCACAAAAAGCCGTGACCGTACCCGATTTGATGATCACTTTACATTGTGTGTCAAATCATTCCACTGTTTTGTACTATACTATGTACTATGTACTATTTGGACTGTTTTCTACACTAAAAAAAACTTCCCTTATTTAAACCATTTTGGCTATAAATTTGCTTGATTAATGCCTTCACACTTTCGCCATGGGAATAATTCCTTCTCTAAAGGTCGCATACCAACTTCTACACTAGTTTCATATGAAAAGTGTTGCAGGAATACAGTTGAAGAATTTACATTCGGAAAGTTTTTTTTGGTTTGCACTTCTTACAAAATTTCAGAGAGAACATTTGAAAATTGGCTTTTCATGGGAAAACTGTGCTTTGCAGAAATAACACCCACCTTTTTCACCGTTTGAAGATAGTTCTAAGCTGACTGCTCTAAGATTCACAAGAGCGGATTTCTTAAAAGCCACCTCATTCTCCTTTATGATCAAATCCTCCTGAAAATTTTGAATGATTGCAGTATTCGCATGCCCTGTAATCAACGTACCCTTTTGAACTCCTTTTGTTGTCCATTCTCGTCAATTGCTAGTGTTGATTCTACAGTAATTGGAGCTGTTTTCAGTGTTTTGAAAGGGACGGAAAAGACGTTTGAAGTCTCTAAACGTATCCGGAATTTTATGCGCAGTTCGTAGGAATGCCAACACTTGCAAGATACTTAATTGAACTGATATAATATTTATTCTTCTAAAAAAGGGTACTGAGGCCCAAAGATTGTACTCTTAAAATAAAAAGTCAATGTTCTAAAAATTTCCAACATTGCTACCAGTTTTCAGCTTAGCTTTACCATTATGCGAATCTTTACTAAAATAACAGCGGTTCCTCTGCGTCCGCCTCTCTGCACTTAGTTTGCTACTTAACTGCGCAATGATTAAAGAAAGAAAAAGTTTTCTATTATTTCTGATCAATTTCTGTAAAAACTGGAACGCTGCCTCTTCAAAACCATTCTATAGTTTTCCCAAGACATTTGATTGCTTGCATTATTGAGCTGAGATGAAATGTCACGTGACAAAACAGCGTTTCTAGAACAGGCTCAAAGGCTGTTCTGCTTATGAAGAAGATACCGTCTCCTGTTGTGTACTAGATAGATTCAATTTCTGAGTTCAATTTTGGCCCTTTAAGGTTCTGCACACAAGGTAAGCCTTCCGTTTTTCCATTCGTAAAAACTTTAGCTTTTGTATTTGTCTCAGAGCTTGTTCATCTTTTTTGAACACTCTTCGATTGTATGCGCAGTATAGCCTTTGAAGTGCTTCCCAAAAACTGCCCAATGACTTCCGTGAACCGAGCCGTACAGAAATTTGGGTCAATAGTATCAAAAAATTTTGGGAATACGGAGCAGATCCGAGGAGCGACACTGCATTTCAATAATTTAGCGTTGGCATTTCAAGAAGTTTTTTTCTATAAATCAAAAGATCGCAGGATTTATGGTGTCAAAAGTGCTGTTTTTTGTAGGCTTAACTTTTCGCTTTAGCTCAGAAATCAGAACAAAGTTATATGATTTTACAAAAGACGAATGAATTTTTGTAGAGCAGAAGAAGGGCTTTCATTTCATTATTACTTGAACAAGAATTAATGTAACGGCCTAATTTTGCATTGTACAAATTAGCGACACATTTACTTAAATAAAACGGTTACGTTATTACTAATATACGAGACGCTTTTGAAATTGAAGCCATCAGATCACTGAAAGGTAGTGCTTAATAAAAAGTGAATG